CATCTTTGTCCTTGATGCACTATCAAGGAAGATCCAGTTGTCATTAAACTTTCTTAAGAGAATCACATTAAGCGTCATGAGTACCAAATACGCATCACGCTATGAAGCGTGTTCCTTACGTTGTGTTTCTCTGCACTCACCCGAAAGGTCCAAAAATGTCACAATTAACGGCTGCTAAATATATGAAAAAGTTGAAATCATTCGTACAGAAATGGGTGCAGCGATATAATGTGGCAAAAAATGATGATTTACCGGAACGTGGCTCGATAGTGGCAAAGTGGACAAAAAAAGACGATAAAAAAATAGTGAATCTGTTTTCGCGGAATCCTGGCTTAACACTGCATCAAGGACAAGCAAAATTGAAGCAGAAAGGTTTAGATATATCGTATGAAACTATTTGAACCTATTATATTTCAAGGCTAATAACATGAACTCGACCACGCTCTTACTTGATTTACTGTATATACACTTATATTGTATATTCTTTTTATTAAATGATTATTCCTCAAATGCATATCAAGCAAGTAATATGAAACAAAATTAATAATGATACACATAAACATGTTACGAATAACCTAATAATGTATAGAGTGAGTATACTTTTTTGTTGACTGAGAAATTTTTCTTTACTTCTAATTTTTCTTTATATTACAGAAATTTTACAGACTATTCATATGTATATATAGTTTGTTTAAGGTATGAATATTAACACATTTTAGTTCGAATTGTCAAATTTAAGGTATAAAACATATTTTTCCTTGAATCGCGTTTGGAAAATCATTGTGTGTACTAAGAGTTAAACGTTTAAATGTTAAAAATAAAAATTGTTATAAATAAATCGATAATAATTAATTCTTTTCAAGTCCTTTCATATTCCTTAATCATTAATAAGATAAATTCACACATATTAATAAAATCTTTTTAAAAAACTTTTTGAAAAAGAAGGAAAAATATACATCCTTGCTGATCAAAAATGGATATGAAATACATATCAGCCAAATATTTTATTACTCAAAAAACATCTCAAAAAATTTATTTGTAAATAACTTATTAATTTTTTAAAAACCATAAAACTGGACTGGAAATTACTAAAATAATCAACTGAATTATAGTGAAGAAAAAACTTGATATGCCCGGGTGCCATTGCGTGTCTCCTAAATATTAGACGATTAATATTCACGCTCAGTCCCAAGATTTATATCACTTCTATTATTTGCAGACATATTTTTATATCCTCACATTCTATGTTATTAATATGTCTATTATATTTAATTTCAATTATTACTTGCAATGTTTCAAATAATAAATTTTTATTATTTGAAGTGGATTGAATAACGAACAAATTTTTATTCGTCAATCACAAACGGCCAAATAATGAATAAATTTTTATTGATCATTCACAAGTGACTGAATACCGAATAAATTTTTATTCATCATTTACAAGTGGCCAAAATACAAATGAATTTTTATTCATTGTTCCCAAGCAACCGAATAATGAATAAATTTATATTTAATTATAAATATATAAAAAAATTTGAATAAGAACTTTCAATCTTAAAAACAATTAGAAATTTAGAACAAGGCTAATGAGAATCTAACGCTGATGTAAGAGCAAAGAGTTAGGAGATGTAGATAATACTCAAGTGTTGACGGTAGTCTTCATTTATTATATCGAACGTTTCGGCTCATTTTGGAGCCATCTTCAGCGAAAAATAGACTGTAATATTATGTTGAGAGTAAGTCACTCGCAAATTGGTAGAAATGCAGTAGTCCATACGCTATATAAATTATTACAATTTTACTGTTAGTTCAATACTTAAAACAGTAATAATCTGATATGACTCGCTTCAACGGGAAAACATTGAAGTTTCGCAAATTGATTCAATTTCCATGCGATATAAATTAACAAAAATTGTTCCTCAAATTAATATCGTGTTAGTTTATCTTGACGTTTTAAATTGAAACGTTACAAAGTGATAAGAGGACTTATAAACAAACAATAAATAATAATAAGAAAGTCAACCTATAACCATTTTTGAACCTCAATATTGTTTTAATGTGTCTAATAAGGAAGCATACGAGTAATGCAAACATTCTATGTCTGTTTTTAAATTGAGTCCATTCTTCTGTATGTATACGAGTATATATATA